GCGCGATGCATGCAACCTCCTTGTTCCTCGGGGCGTCCCTTTTCCCACTGTGTGCGGTGCTCCGAGCGTCTCAGGTAGGCCACTGATCACAGCATGATCCGTTCCCAACAGCGCAAGCTCTGCGTTGGGATCTTTCTCGAAGTTTTCTCGACTCTGCCTCTGCTTGTCGCTGCTCTTCGACGCTTCCCCAGCAGAGATCAGGGACTCATCGATTGACAGCATCTCATCGCATAGCATCACGTCGTCGCACCGCACCCTTTCCACTACCACAACAGCGCCCATCATGCCCCACCTGAGAGACGAGACGATGCGACAGGCCCGTGACCGATCGGTAGCTCGCTACATCCGCGCTGCCTCTGACATCCTCGACGACGCTACGGCAGGCAGTCGTGCTCATCGGGAGCGCCAGTCGTCCGTCTACTACAGTCAGTCTCTCCCGTCTTGCCCTCAGACGTGCTCATGGATCGCGTGAACAGACTTTGCTGCCCAGCTTGCTGCTGCAGACTCGACACTCGGCTTGCTCAAGACGCTCGCTGTGGCACCCGAGATCCAGGCCGTCACTCGCTCAAGCTCGCTCGATCGTGTTGCACTCGCTGAGCTCGGTCTCGGCTCATCACTCGTCGGCCGTGGTCATGACGAGCGTCTGCTTCAAGTCGTCTTGCTCGGTGGGTTCTCTTGCTCATCACGAGTCGTGGCAGCGAGCTGATGTACGCAAGTGCAGCTACGCTGGTCCAGGAGGGCATCAATGATCGTGCTCAGTCGTCATCATGGATCCGCTCGCTCGGTCAAGACGTCTTGCTCGCCCGTCTCCTCGCGGCCAACGACCAAGGCCGTCAGGTCTCGCTTCAAGAAGCCTACGAGCTCGTCCAGGATCTGATCGACACCCGCTACTCCGGCCGCCACGAGCAGGAGTGTCGTGTCCAGTTGCTCATTCAATTGACCTCTGACGCTGCACGCTCATCATCTGCTCTGGCCTCGATCAGCCGAATCGGTGCTCGCCGTGAGGACGTTCGTGACATCATCGAGTCGCTCGTCTTTGACCGTCGACCGGCTCGCAACGTCAACGCACGTGACATCATCGAGCTCATTGCCTCGAGCCGCTCCCAGCTCAAGTCACGTCGTTGCGCCGCACTTGACGGCGGCAATGACAACCTTGCCGATCTCATCGAAGCGCTCTCGTTCGATCGCTCTGCTCGTCGTGGCCTCAGCTCTCGCACTGAGCACGACATCGAGCAGCTTGCCAACGATCTCATCCAAGACCGCGGCATTGAACGTATCGGTGGCAAACGCGAGATCGACCAGGTCCTCATCGATGCTCTCGACGGTCGTCGCTCGATCGCTCGTGAAAATCGCATCGAACGTGATGCTGAGCGTGTCCTCATCGATCTCCTCGGCGAACGCGGTGTCCGTGGCTCGTCTAGCAACGAAGCTGAGCTCATTCAGGACGTCATCGCTGGCCGCTGCTCGACGCGTGGACTCGATCTCGAAGACATCCTTGCTGCGACTCGTCGTGCAGGTCGTGGTGTCGACATTGAGGACTTGATCGCTACTCCTCGCACCGGACGTGACTACGATCTCGAAGACCTCCTTCAAGGTTAGCCAATCGCGTGACACAGACGTACACACTGACGTACACATGTACATGCAGCTCGTCTCGGTCGCAACAACTCGGAGGCCGAAACGCTTCGTCTCATCCGCAACCTCGAACGCAATGGCGTCCTTCGCACGGTCGAAGCAGAGGCCGGCTGCTGCGGCCAGACGGACGAGCTGGATCGCATCTGTGAGTCATTGCGCTCACTCAGGGTGAAGTATGACGAACTGACGGACAAGTCGGCCTGGCCGGAATAAAGCTCGCAAGCTCGAACGATCAGGACAGATTGAACGCAACCTCGCTCAAGCGGTCAGTCCATGATCAAGTCGCTGACACAATGCAAGCTGATCTTGTTCTGTCCAACAGCTCCGCCGATTGTCGAGCTCGCTCTGAAGTCATCACGCAGGAGACGCGCGTAGAAGAGCGCATTGAAGAATTGCCGACTCAAGAGAGTATGACGACCTCGAATCTATCAAGTGACTGAGCGAAAGCGAACCTGATCCAAGAAGATCTGCAGAAGAATGACAACAACAATTTGG